TGTTTTAGGGGAAAGATAAAACTGTTCTGTGTGCCTGAATTACCAGTTTTAATCCAACAACTTATTTAACATAAAGCAGATACATTATAAGGTGTTTGAATTTAAAACAAAAAAAAATCTGATCAAACTGACGCCACTGGTCGATTCATTTCTCCTTATGTTGCGTTACATTTGGAATTTCAGCTTCTTCCATAAGAAAGCACAAAAGTCTGTTGGTGAGGATTTCTTTTCAAGGTGTTGGTTTGCAAAAATGTAAGTATTAATTTCTGTAAGGGTCTCTTAAAATGGGTATTTCTGAAAAAAAATCTCAAGCATCATTGATATGCTGTGACTGGTCTATCATTTTATAAGGCTGAGAAAATCTGAGCAGGGTGGTAAGAGCTAGAAACATAAAATGTTTCTTTTGATGGAACTAAGTTGACATGAAGTCAAAACATAAGTAGCCCTGCATCTCAGACCAAACGATCAAGGATATTCAACCGAGATTCGGCAGGTAGAAAAAATTCTAACATAAGGGACAAAATCCTGTCAGTGTAATAAAGTTGGACTGTAGCCAAAATGTAATTCCTAAAAGCCATTTGCCTAAAAAAAAATAAATAAAGCCACAGCTTTATTTTTAATGATATCATCTCTAGCATTTGAATGATAGTTTAAGGAAAAGGATACAGCTTTTCTGTCTTGAATGTCAAAATTACTCAATCCACTGTACCTTATCAGCAATTCAAACATCGCAACAAATAATTAAAATTTTGAATCAATATCTACAACGAAAATTTTAAATTGACTGACTTTCCTACCCATAGGCATGTGCAAATTTCCTTCATTATGTTAGAAATCATTGAACATTTTAAACTTCGTAAGAATAAAACAGTCACACAGTGCAGGAAATTTTGAAATCTTATGATCTTAAAATAGTATGATTTTTTAAAAATGGGGTTTCTTAAGCTCTTTATGTATTTTGTGTTTTATCTATAAAACTAGGAAGTTCAACATTTTTTAAGTAGAGTTACTTCTTAGGCTAAAAATCCCCAGTTGTTCCTTTGATGATACTTCAAAAGATTTTCTTGGGAAAATGGGTATTTTTAATATTCATATTTAAAGTGAGGTCTAATATAATTTTAATGTTCATCTTTCTCCAACCTTCCAAAAACCGGTTTATAGATATTCATGAGACGTTTGTTAAGGATAAGCGCTACATGATTCACCTATTAACCTGATAGCAGTTAACTAGGAAGGAAACCCCCAACAGGCATCCTTAAGGTTTCTGCTTCATGACTATTCCCCAGGGTACCCCTAGCACACAATGCTGGGCCCACCGGAATCCAGGGCATAATTATCAGAAAGAAACAGATTTTCAAAAGTGAAACTATATTTTTAGCATATACTTAGGGATCAGCCAGGTGTCAAAGGAGAGAAGCTTCCAACATGATTACATGACAAATTTCTTTCTTCAATGTAGCAAATAAACAACTGATTCTTGAATCTCACTTATCAAATGTGGTGATTTGTATAATTAACATTCTGTTCCAGTTCTGTGAGGTTTTATTTCCAAATCACATGTCAAAAGATTGTTGATGAGTACATCCAGCAAAGCTTGCTAAGGTAGTGCTCAGTTAAAATGAGACATCCAAAGGCTGGATGATATAGTGAACTCTCAACATCTTTGGGAAGCTTTCAACAGTAACTTAGAGGAAAGTAGAGGTTTTTGTTGTTTTTTTTCTCCGTAAACTTGCTAACTGCTCAAGAGGCCAAATCAACGTTTTCCCCCTTCACGTGAAACGTTTGGTTGGTTAAAATCAATCATGAGTTGCATGTTAGACATTGTTTCCTTTTTTCAGGTAAGGTAATGTACCATTCCAAACTGCATTTTCAGTTGTGCTTTATGATTAAAAATCCTTGTGGATTCCTATCTAAAGCCATCAGGAGCTTATAAATGATGTATTTCAAACTCTGGGTCTCTTGCACAGTATTAACTGTAACAGGTCCTTTGGTGTAAATTATTTTTGACAGTAGTAAATGAAAACTATTATTTCCATGTTTGTCTTTAGGATTGGGAGTTATGGGCAGTTCAAGTTTTCAGTATTTACAAAACCTCACAGCCTGGCTCCACCTGCAATCTAGGGCCACTTGCGACAATTTGGAGGCAAAGTCCCATGTAGATATGTGTGTTCTGTCAGTTCCCCAGGTCAACCAGCCTATACCAGACATGTACCCAACAAGACAGGAATGAAATCGGGACAAGGAAATCACAAAGAGTAGGAAACAGTTCGTTGTAATGGCACGTTACCTAAATACATTTAAAAATTAAAACTTGAGAACTAAACCCAAAGATCCTTAGTTCTCCAGTAAGAAAAATAAGGATGTACACAGCTAATCTTGAACAATTGAATGCCTGCTAATTCAATTGCCTAGACTTCCACTCATTAGCCAAGCAGTCTTCCAAATTAAGACATCCGGTCTCCCTCAATTTTCCACTTAAACCAGAACACAGGAGAATAGATTTGACCAATCAACTTAGGATAAAATTATGTATGAAAAGTGACTTATGTGGTATATGAATTCGTTATAGGGCTTATCATGAAAAACCCATGCTGCCCTTGAAGTTTTATGGATGCCTAAGTTTCGAGGGGGTTACTTCCACAGACTTAATCTACACTATAGAAAATGGGTCATATTTTTTTAAACGTGCATTCAGTATCTTCTTAAGTGATGAGAATGTTTGCACATTTCTATTTGGGTGACCCTGAAGCATCCTAATAGTTCCATGAACTCTGAATAAGTCTGATATTAAAATAAACATGACACAAACTTCAAAAATCTACATATGCAATCACACTACAAAAAACACACAGGAAAATTCTCGGTTCATATAATTTATTGCAGTTAGCACACAGTTTAAAAATTCACCAACACACCAATAGTACAAAACTAAACAGCATTATAAGTTATTCCCCCCTCAGGAAAATAAAACATACTATGATTGTCAAAGCTAGATGTCAGTCTAAATTTTAGAACAAAGGAAGAATGTGAAACTAAGAAAAAGCAATCACTCACAATGACCACAAAAAAGAAAATCCAAAAAAGTCCGTTTTCTCACAGACATTGATTGTCTTCTCTAAATTAATAAAAATTATTTTAACATAAACTATATTTTAAAAAAAACTAGAAACTCTTCAAGTAACTAAAGATAATGCTCCAAGGCCATTTTCACAGCTTTTTTGTTTGTTTGTTTGCTTTAAATGCCATTACAGCCAAATTAACACACATTTGACCAAATATTTCCAAAACAGTCCCAGCAACACACAATGGAGTTTTCCATTCAGTATCTTAAGCACAAAAATAGGCTATGTTTACAGTAGTTAAGGCGATCAAATTTTAAACAAAAGCAATTAAAAAAAAAAAAAAAAAAGGGAAAAACAACAAACGTTTTCCATGCTACGCCCATAGACCTTATTTGTAAGTGCAAGACAGGAAAACAAACACTGTGCAAAATGCTTTTGCCCTGTGCTGGTTATTAAAACCACACGTGGGGCTGCAGCCTCTGCTGCCCATACACATAGTCTACTGACCCCCTTCCCCATGTCAATCAAGGCAGTCCAGTCCTTTCAGCCTGGGGCTTTTTCAGTCCATAGAATCTTTTCATGAGTTGGGGGGGGGGTAAGGAAATAGGGGAGAAAAAGAAAAAGGGAGCCAGAGAGAGAGAGAGAGAGAGACAGAGAGAGAGAGAGAGACAGAGAGAGAGAGACAGAGAGAGAATGACCTATTGTCAATTTGTGCAGTAGTTATTCTAAAAATGCTCAACTGGGTAAATGTGTACACCTAAACTTTGAGCTGGCATGGGTTCTGTGCAATTACAAGAGTGTTATAAATGCACACTGCACATGCAAATCTTTAAGCCGTTTGTAAACATTTATATGCTCCTTGTTATGTAGCGAAGTTATCAATTTGCAGCTTAAGTTTTTATTCAGCTTAACAGTTTCAACTTAAAGACAGTGGGAAAGTCAATTTAAATTATATAAAATAAAAATAAAAACAGTGCATTTACGTTCTTCATAACACCAGTTTTTTCCCCAAATGGTGCTATTTTTTTCTAAGGAAATTAAATAATCTTAAACTCACTCGTTAAAGTTATACAATGCAAACAAAGACAAAAAATATATTGAAACTCATGCATTTCTGTAGCGTTAATATTTACTTTTCAAGACTCAACTAAGAGCATCAACACAACCTGTCAAGTTCTTTGACACCCCCCCCAAGCCCGTGTAATCAATTACAGTATACAAGAACAGTAATTCACATTTCTAAACACACAGTTCAACACTGCTGAAGCTGCAATATCCTTTTTCATCTCGAGCAAACCTTCACAACGACAGTCCCAGTGATCCCAGTGTACTGTCAGAATTTCTCTCACTGGGAACTGTCAGAAAACCAGAAGTTGCCACAGAAAGTTTTAAGTCAACTGCTTGTTTAAAAATAGATAATCCAGCATTTCAGAAATTTTCCATTTGGGTCTAAAAGCATTCAGGTTTCCAACAGCCAGAAAAAATTCATGCAATTTGAGACATAGAAAGAGGCTAATAAAACTGGAGGGAATTTCTTTCTACTTTCAAAAACAAAAAAATAAAACAATGTGGGGCACAAGAAAAGAGCTCAAGACAATGCAGTGTTTACAAAATTAAGCCCTATGAAAGCCTTTGTGACTGAACGATTTGTTGAGAAGCTTCTTATTGGCTAACTCGGCCTGTCCCTCGAAGGAAAGACACCTCTCTATTCTCTGACTTGCTCTAGTTTCTTTTACCAGAATGCTAAATTAGTGAGAGTCTCATGCTATTATTCTAAAGTGCAAAAACAAGTTAAGATCCCAACTTTTTAGTTCCAGGAAACAAGACTGCTTTTAGACCGTACCACAACTATATAGAGATCTATGTATATATAT